GAGACAAAGTATATGTGAACTGCTGTATGAAAAGTGAATTTACTCCGTAAATCTTCACCCAAATCCTAATTAAAAAAATTTACAGCCTTGGAAACTTCACTGGAGAGTTCTACTCTGTTGTATAGGGTTACTGTAAGCTGGGATCAACTCAATAGCAGTTATTTGTTTTTTGTTTGTTCATGTCATAATAGTTACGTAAGAATTACATGAAATATGGGTATATGGGTGGATAGATGGGTGGAAAGGCTGAACTAGTAATTTTGTCTATGAAGCGGGGAGTGTACTCAAGACCATTTATAGGATTGGCAGACAGTAGTCCTATAACTTTATGTGTATGGTCTGAATTCCCAAGTGTATAGTAGACCTGACAAGGGGCAGGTTGTAGTCACTTCTTGGTCACAGCCAGCTACCCAGAGGGACTGAGTGGTTGAACCTGTGGGCTCAGGACCATACTTTCAGGGGACATCAAGCTCAACTGGCATAAAATACTACACAAAACATTGTTCCACCTCCTACTTTGGTGAATAGCAACTGGGATCTTAAAAGCTTGCAAGCAGCCATCTACATGCAACAATGGGTCTCTCCTCATCCAGAGCAAAGAAGAATGAAGAAAACCAAAGATTCAGGGAAACACTTAGTCCTAGTGACTGGTACACTATGTGATCCACAGCCTATATGGATATTAGACCAAAACTAGATGATGCCCAGCTAGCACTGTAAAACACTCAGAGGGGCATCTATGTATGACATCCTAGATAGAGAGGGAGAACAATGTGGAACAAAACTCAGATAATTTGGGGGAAAAAAAAAAAAAAGAGGAGAGCCAGGTTTGCTGGTCTGATAGAGCCTGGTGGAACCACTGAGACTATGGCCCCTAGCTGCCCTGCAGGTCTGGAATTGAACCCACACCTGTGGCTTCCAGCCAAATAAAAGACAGGCATATGAGTTGAACATTTACCTGAGGTAGATACACCCTTGGATAGAACAATCATGGGAGAAAGAAGGGCTGTTTATGCACAGGGAGACAGCTCAAGGAGCAGGGTTGCATGGAGGGATGGACACAGGGAAGAGATAACTATCAGGAGGAAGTGGGAAGGGAGTTGTTGCATTGTGGTAAATTGTAGTCAATGTCATGAGACAAAGTATCTGAACTGCTGTACAGAAAGTGAATTTGACCTGTAAATTTTTAATTACATTTTCACAATTTAAAAAAATCACAATTAAAAAAATTTAAAAAAAAAATTACACACAATTAAAAAAAAAGAATTACATGAAATAAAGTATATAAAGAATAGAGCACAGCACAAGACATGTAAGTGCTCACTGTGTCCTATTGAGCTACTGTTATTAAAACAAGGAATGTTAAGATGACTCTAGAAGAAAAGAATTTTCTTTTTGTCTTAGAGGTTTTTACCCATACCAAGCACTGCTCATAAGTCCCAAAATTTCGTGTTTTCCTCCCATATTCCTGATAATGGAGATGTATATGCAATACCTTTCATGTACTGGTGATAGGCTGTGACAGTGATTTCCTCAGACATGTTTCGGATCCTGATTTGAATTTCTGAAGTATCTCCAAAATCTATCACCAGACAAAGAGACCCTTCAGAAATCATCTGCAGTCGGAACCCCAGATTTAGAGATGCCTGTGTATCAGTTTCTGGTAACCTCTGGGTGACAGGATTTACCACGACGCTGGAATCTCGTGCAGGGATGGTACCAGGAGGACAAGGACTGAGGAAGCAGGGTTTCCTGGGCCCTGACTGGGTCGTTGAGAGGCTCTGGGAGTGAGAAGCACCAAGAAGAACACCTGCAGAGCTGTGGGAAGAGGTAGAATGCTTCAGAGTCCAACAGGATCACTCCAAGAATCAAATCACATTTCCCCTCAACCCAAACAGATGACAAGGATGGAGGAGCCTAAACTGGAGGATTTACAACTGAAAAAAAAGTTGGCATGATCTATCGCAAATTGTTTTGACCAATGGTTCTCAATATGGCCCCAAGACCAGCAGCATCAGCACAACCTGGATACTTGTTACAGGTATAAATGCTTGGGCCCCAACCATACCTGCTGAATCACAGCCCTCAGGAAAGCCCAAGGTAAGCTAATATGTTACAATCACTAATCTAGCTGTATCAATAAAGGAAATAATGAAAACATTTTCTCTCATTTTTGAATTGATGGACAAGAAAATATGAGTCTCCCAAAAGGCACTATTCATATGTTTTTATAAAAATGCTCTACATGGGGGAGTGCTGTTCTTGTTGTTAGGTGCCACTGAGTCATCTCCAGCTCACAGACACCCTATGTACAGCAGAATGAAACACTGCCTGTTCCCGTGCCAGCTCCACGTTCCCTGTTATACTTGACCCCATTGTTGTAGCCATTGCATCAATCCCTCTTGTTGAGGGCCTTCTCTTTCGCTGATCTCCACTTTACCAAGCATGATATCCTTCCCCAGGGAATAGTCTCTTCTTACAATATGACCATAGTAGGTGAGATGAAGTCAGGCCATTCTCACTTTCAAGGAGCATTCCAGCTGCACTTCTTCTAGGAAATATTTGCTAGTTCTTTGAGCAGTCCATGGTACTTTCAGCATTCTTTGACAGCACCATAACTCAAAAGCACCAACTCTTCTTAGTTCTTTGTTATTCATTGTCCAGCTCTCACGTGCATATGAGGTGATCAAAAATACCATGGTTTGTATCAGGCGCATCTTAGTCCTCAAGAAGACATCTTTGCTCTTCAGCACTTGAAAGAGGTCTTTTGCAGGAGATTTGCCCAGTGCTATGCATCATTTGCTCTGGTAGTGTAGTGCCTTAGGCACTTGACTGCTAACCAGAGGGCTGGTGATTCAAACCCACCAGCCACTCCTCGGAAGGAAGGTTGGGCAATCTACTTCTGTAGTGATACCACCTCAGAAACCCAAGGAGGGGTCGCGATGAGTCAGGTCCGACTCTACGGTACATAACAACAACAACAACATGCATCATTTGATATCTTCACTGCTGCTTCCACTGGTGTTGATTGTAGAACCAAGTAGTAGGAAGTCTTTGATAATTTCAATCTTTTCTCCATTTATCGTGATGTTACGTATTGGTCCAGTTGTGAGGATTTTTTTTTTTCTTTATATTGAGGTGTAATCCATACTGCAGACTGTATTCTTCAATCTTCATCAGTAAGTGTTTCAAGTCATCCTCACTTTCAGCAAGCAAAGTTGTGTTGTCAGCATATCACAGGTTGTAAATGAATCTTTTTCCAGTCCTGATGTCACATTCTTCTTCATATAGTCCAGCTTCTCAGATTATTTGTTCAGCATACAGATTGAATAACTATGATGAAAGGATACAACCCGGATGCTCTTCCTTCTTGATTTTTAAAGCATGCAGTATCCTCTTGCTCTGTTCAAACAACAGCCTTCTGATCTATGTACAGGTTCCTCATGAGTACAATTAAGTGTTCTGGAATTCCCATTCTTCTCAATGTTGTCCACAATGTGTTATGATCCATACAACTGAATGCTTTTGCATAGTCAATAATACACAAGTAAACATCTTTATGGTATTCTTTGCTTTCAGCCAGGATCCATCTGACATCAGCAATGATATCCCTTGTTCTATATCTCTTCTGAATCCAGCTTGCATTTCTGGAAGTTCTCTGTCAATGTACTGCAACACTCGTTTTTAAATTATCTTCAGTAAGATTTTACTTGCATGTGATATTAATGATATTCTATTCCTGGAGTCTCGTTTTTTGCAAATTCCTTCAGTGCAGCTTGGACTTTTTCCTTCAGTACCATTGGTTCTTGATCATATGCTACCTCCTGAAATAGTTGGACGTGGACCAATTCTTTTTGATACAGAGACTTTGCATATTTCTTCCATCTTCCTTTGATGCTTTCTCCATCATTCAATATTTTGCCAATAGAATCCTCCAATATTGGAACTTCAGGCTATAATTTTTTCTTCTTCAGCTTGAGGAATGCCAAACATGTTCTTCCCTTTTGATTTTCTAACTCCAAGTCTTTGCACACTTCATTATAGTACTTTAATTTGTCTTCTCTGGCCACCCTTTGAAGTCTTCTGTTCAGTTCCTTTATTTCAGCATTTCTTCCATTTGCTTTCTCTACTGTCTATTCAAGAGCAAGTTTCAGAGTCTCTTCTGATATCCATTTTGGTTTTTTCTTCCTTTCCTGTTTTCTTAATGACCATTTGCTTTCTTCAGGTATGATGTTCTTGACGGTATCCCACAATTTGTCTGGTCTTTGGTCATTGGTGTTCAATGCATCAAATCTATTCTTCTGATGGTCTCTAAATTCAGATGGGATATAATCAAGGGCATATTTTGGCTTTTGGAGCTTATTTTAATATTTTTTTTCAGCTTCAAGTTGAGCTTGCATATGAGCAATTGATGGTCTGTTCTACAGTCAGCTCCTGGCCTTGTTTTGACTGATGATATTGACCTTCTCCATTGCCTCTTTCCACAGACATGTTGTTGTTGTTGTTATGTGCTGTGGAGTCGGACTCAACTCATAGTGACCCCTCCTTGGGTCCGAGGCAGTATCACTATGGAAGTAGATTGCCCAAACTTCTAAGGACTGGCCGGTAGGTTTGAACCACCAGCCTTCTGGCTACCAGTCAAGTGCTTTAAGCACTATGCTACCAGAGTTCCTGTTTCCACAGATATAGTTAATCTCATATCTGCATATTCCAGCTGTTGAGATCCATGTGCATAGGTGCTGTTTATGTTGTTGAAAAAAAGGTATCTGAAGTGAGTAAGTCAGTGTTATTTCTATTACCAAGGCCATATTTTCTAACTACCGATGATTCTTTGTTTCCAACTTTCACATTCCAATCACCAATAATTATCAATATATCTTGATTGTGTGTTTGTTCAATTTCAAACTGCAGAAGTTGGTAAAAATCTTCTATTTCTTCATCTTTGGCTTTAGTAGTTGCTGTGTAAATTTGAGTAACAACAGCATTAGCTGGTCTTCCTTGTAGGCCTATGGATATTATCCAATCACCAACAGTATGATACTTCAAGATATATCTTGAGATGTTCTTTTTGACAATGAATGTAATCCTGTTTCTCTTCAATTTGTCATTCCCATAATAGTAGGGGAACAGGAAAGGGGAGAACCCCAGGAAGGAAGGGGGAGCCGGGCATCATTTGCCAGAACAGGAAGGGGGAAGGCCAGAAAGTGAGCAGAGTGGTTTAGAACAACTAAGGGAGATAAAGTTATCTCTAAGTTTGCCATAATGTGGTGGCTTGCGTGTTGCTGTGAGACTGGGGGTTGTGTCACTGGTGTTTCAAATACCCATGGTGGACAGGTTTCAATGGAGCTTCCAGATTGAGACAGGCTCAGAAGGAAGAAGCTATCCACTTCTCAAAGAATTGGCCAGTGAAAACCTTATGAATAGGAGTTAAACACTGTCTGATATATTACTGGACAACTTTATAAATAGCCCTGAAACACTGTCTGATACCGTGCCAGAAGATGATCCCCTCACATTGGAAGGCACTCAAAATATGACTCAGAAAGAGCTGCCTCATCAGAGTAGAGCCTACCTTAATGATATGGATAAAGTAGAGCTTTAGGGACCTCCACTTGCTGATGTGGCATGACTGAAAATGACAAGAAACAGCTGCAAACATCCATTAATAATTGGAACATAGAATGTACAAAGTATGAATTTAGAAAAAGTGAAGATTGTCAAAAATGAAATGGAACACATATAGATTGATATTCTAGGCATTAGTGAGCTGAAATGGACCAATTTTGCCCATTTTGAATCACATAATCATATGATCCACTACGTTGGGAATGACAAATTGAAGAGGAATGGTGTGGCATTCATCATCTCAAAGAATGTTTCAAAATCTACCCTGAAGTACAATGCTGTCAGTGATAGGATAATATCCGTATGCCTACAAGGAAGGCCAGTAAATACTACTATTATTCAAATTTATGCAACTACCGCCAAAGCCAAAGATGAGGAAATTAAAGATTTTTCCCAACTTCTGCAGTCTGAAATTGACCCAACATGCAACCAAGATATGCTAATTATCACTGGCGTTTGGAATGCAAAAACTGGAAACAAAGCAGAATCACCAGCAGTTGGAAAATCTGGCCTTGGTGACAGAAATAATGCTGGAGATCACATGATAGAATTTTGCAAGACCAACGACTTGTTCATTGCAAACACCTTTTTTCAACAACACAAATGGAGGCTGTATAGGTGGACTTCACTAGATGGAGTACAAAGGAATCAGACTGACTACATCTGTGGAAAGAGGCGATGGAAAAGCCAAAACGAGGCCAAGAGCTATTGTGAAATAGACCATCAACTGCTCATATGCAAGTTCAAGTTCAACTGAAGACAATTAGAACAAGTCCATGGAAGTCAAAATATGACCTTCAATATATTCCTATATTCCTCCTGAATTTAGAGACCATTAAGAATAGATTTGATGCACTGAACACCAATGATTGAAAGCCAGAGGAATTGTGGGATGACATGAAGAACATCATCTATGAAGAAAACAAAAGGTCATTAAAAAGACAGGAAAGGAAGAAAAGACCAAAATGGATGTCAGAAGAGACTCTGCAACTTGCCCTTGAATGGAGAGTAGCTAAAGCAAATGGGAGAAATGCCAAGATAAAAGAGCTGAACAGAAGATTTCAAAGAGCAGTTTGAGAAGACAAAGTCAATTACTATAATGAAATGTACAAAGACATGGAGTTGGAAAGCTAAAAGAGAAGAAGAATGTGGCATCAGGATTGTAAGAACAATCATTAACAACTTGCAATATGCTGACGACACAACTTTGCTTGCTGAAAGTGAGGATGAGTTGAAGCACTTACTGATGAAGATTAAAGACTGCAGTCTGAAGTATGGACTACACCTCAACATAAAACAAAAATCTTCACAACTGGACCAATAATCAGCATCATGATAAATGGAGAAAAGACTGAAGTTGTCAAAGAGTTCTTATTACTTGGTTCTATAATCAACACCAATGGAAATAGCAGTCAAGATATCAAATAATGCATACATACCACTGGAAGAATCTGCTGGAAAAGACCTCTCTCGAGTGCTGAAGAAGAAAGATGTCTCCTTGAGGACTAAGGTGTGCCTGACACAAACCTTGGTATTTTCAATCACCTCATATGCATGTGAGAGCTGGACAAGGAACAAGGAAAACCGAAGAAGGGTTGATGCTTTTGAGCTGTGGTGCTGGTGAAGAATGCTGAAAATACCATGGGCTGCTCAAAGAACTAACAAATCTGTCCTGGAAGAAGTGCAACTGGAATGCTCCTTGGAAGCAAAAATGGCCAAACTTCATCTCATCTACTTTGGTCATGTTGTCAGAAAGGACTATTCCCTGGAGGAGGATATCATGTTTGGTAAAGTGGAAGGTCAACTAAAAAAGGGAAGCTCCTCAACAAGATGGACTTACACAGTGGTGACAATGACTAGCTCAGGTATAGCAAGGATTGTGGGGCTGGCACAGGACAAGGCAGTGTTTCACTCTGCTGTACATAGGGTCAGTGTGAGTCGGAGATGACTCAGTGGCACCTAACAACAACAACATCATAGATCATGATTGTCTTATTCAAAATGACCAATGCCACACTGCAGCTAACTAATTGCTTAGGATATTGATCTCTATCCATTCCATTTAATTTGTGATGATGTCCAATTTTCCTAGATTCATACTTCATACATTCCACATTCTAATTATTAATGGATGCATGCAACTGTTTCTTCCCATTTTGAGTCGTGACCCATCAGGAAATGAATGGCCCAAAAGCTTTACTCCATCCACATCATTAAGGTTGACTCTAATATGAGGAGGCAGCCTTCTTCAGTCATATTTTGAGTGCCTTCCAACCTGAGGGACTCATCTTTGGGAAGTATATGAGACAGTGTTTCATGGCTCTTCATAAAGTTTTCCAGTAATATATCAGACAGTGCTTCCCTGCTATTCATAATGTTTTCAGTGGCCAGTATTTTCAGAAGTCAATGGCCCCATCCTTCGGCCCAATCTGTCTTAGTCTGGAAGCTCCACTGAAATCTGTCCAATTGAGCTTGATGTCCACCATGGTGACCCTGCTGGTATTTTAAATACTGGTGGCATGGCCTCTAGCCTCACAGTAACATGTAAGCCATCACAATATGACAAACTGACAGATGAGTGGTGGAAACTAGTTTAGTTTATGCTATACTAATTTAGCATAAACTAAAGGTTAAAAATCAGATAGAAAAGACTTTCATGAAAGTGAAAAGGTTTTCAGTATCTTATGACCAATTCACCTGCTCCCTCCCCTCAAAGTATGCTGCACCTGCCATAATAAAAATACAATCACACAAGCCTTTAGTCTGAATTAATACCTGATTTGAAACAAAAAGAAAATATAAAGGTAAATACCTGCAAGGGACAGGGTCTAGTACAATGAGGATGCTAAAATCACCACCTGAATTTGGGTATGACTCTTGAATTGGTAGTGAGAAGGGACAATGGCCTTTACACTACCCTTACCTTACCTTCTAGGACAGGTGAGGAAATGTGAAGTTGGACACAGGAGGGATAGCTTGGTGGCTGCTCTGAGGGATAGTTTTGTTGCTTCAATCCAGGCCCCTGCCTTAACATTGGTGGGTAACACACAGGGCCCAGGAGGGAGCTTCTTATTCACATCCTTTGCTGAGCACAATGGTCTAATGATGCAATCAGAAATCTCCATTTTCAAGCTGTAGGGTGCCACTATCGAAGAGTTGCACTGAAATATGAAAACATTTTTTTAAAAAAAGCTTATGGTTTATCAAATGGCCTAGTTACTAGGATAAGCTCTTTGGGTCAAAAAGTAAGCTCACAGAACCTAGGTGAGGCCAAGGTCTTGGGGTTATTTGGTAAGTTATAGAAATTTCCCCATCTCACACAATGACATGACACTGGGGATGAGATAACATATCATCCCTGTTACTCTCCAAGAGGGCCACATCGCAGCTACCTGAACCAAGGGGAAAGTTTTATCAGGAATTTTGGGGATGATTATTACCAGAAGTTCATATTGTTCCCTGGATTAAGCAAATGGAAAACTAGCTAATTTTATATGGTCAGATATAAATTAAAGTTAAGAGCTTAAAGATGTACTTTGGCACACATTAAAAGTAAGTTGTTGTTGTTGTTATGTGCCGTCGAGTCAGCCCTGACTCATAGCGACCCCTCCTTGGGTTTCCGAGGCAGTATCACTACGGAAGTAGGATTGCCCAACCTTCCTTCCAAGGAGTGGCTGGTGGGTTTGAACCGCCAGCCTTCTGGTTAGCAGTCAAGTGCCTTAGCCACTATGCTACCAGAGCTCCCACATTAAAAGTATATATTCCTTTATTGCCTGACAAATTTAGTTATACTTTCAGTTTGCGTGAGTGGTGTCAAAAGGACTGGAAAGGTACACCAATGGCTGTCTGCAAACAGACGACCTACCGTGATACTCACCAGTAGCTTCCTGATAAAATTCAACTGCACATTTCAGATACCAACCTTGAGCAGATCAGAGAATATAGTATTTGCTTCTCCAAGTGCACACATTGGTTGGTATGTGGAGCTGAGGCCAATGCTACTCCAGATAACTCTGCTTGCAATAGAATGTGTGTGGAAGGTCCTAAATATGAAGAGCAAAAGAAAAAGAGAGGGAAACCTGTAGTATTTATATCAAGAATTTGGTGCATCCAGATTACTAATCATGGAGTTCCTGGATGGTGCAAATGATTAATACACTCAGCTGCCAACTGGAAGGTTGGCGGTTCAAGTCTACTCAGAAATCCCTCAGAAGAAAAGTCTGGTTATCTACTTCCAAAAAAATCAGCCATTAAAAATCCTGTGGAGCATAGTTTTACTCTGATACACATGGGGTCATCATGAGTCAAAATTGACTTGGCAACAATTGCTTTTTTTTTTTTTTTTTTTTACTCATAAAAGTCAAGTGTCCTGCATACTCTCTAAAGATTGATTACAGAGGGATACAATATAGTTCAGAACAAAACCAGAAAGGTTGTGGCAAATATTCTAGTGGGAAGTATTCACTACAGAATGAAGCATATCATTTACTAAAATCTATGCCCAACTCAGACACCGATTCAGAAGATTAATCCAGCAAAAGGATCAAATTTGGAATGTACTCCAATGGTGCCTCTTCCATGAGAAAGGCTTTGGCTTACACTGCCTCAGCCAAACCTGGGGTTCCTGCCAGAAAAGACCTGATGTGTTCTATGCAGGCAATGATAGACTGTTTGGTAATGATTTATTTGTAATGGGCCTACCCACAGAAAAGAAATGTATAACTGCTGACCATATTTGGTACATTCAAACTCTGGCAGGAAAAGAGTAATTAGGGAGACATGATGGATGAAAATATGTCTGGTGAAGATGAAAGCCAATGAGTGTGTCACATTCACATGGCACTACAATAGGACTGTATTTACAACTGTCATCCACTAGTCATCTATCAGTTTGTTGTACTCTCCTGGCTTGTGCATTCCTGTGATTCTGAAACTATGCCATCCATATTTCAAATACCAGCAGGGTCATCCAGGGTGGACAATTTTCAGAAGACCTTCCATTTGAACACAGACTAGGAAGGAGAGTCTAGAGACCAAATTCTAAAAAGCAGCCAATGAAAACCCTATGGATCATAACAGAATATTGTCCAATATAGTGTGCTGGAAGATGAGCCTCCTAGGTTGCAAGCCACTCAAGGTGTTCAATGGCCATAAAAACGGACTTGAGCATACTAATGATCATGAAAATGGCACAAGACTATGAACCATGTTGTTCTGTTGTATATGAAGTTGTCTCGAGTCAGAGCTGACTCCATGGCAACTAATAATGCAGTTGTCATGGATGTCTCAACCTAGCCTCCATGTTTCATTCAACTATGCTGTCCTTCCCAAATCTTCTCTCCTCTAGAATAGACATTCTAAATTACTGCAACCATTCTTAATGTGACATAATTTCTAGGCACTTTCTCTTCGTGTTTTCTTTGTATCTCTTTATTTCTTAATGTAGTAATAAGTCTTTTTTAAAAAAAGAATCTGCATGTCTTAGATAAGGTCAAAGATTTACAGGATACTAGAGGAGAGGGCTAGCATGGTATAGGGACAGGGAGTGAATTCGACTTGCAGACCTAAGATGAAGTATTCCCTACCCAAGGTCTTACTTTGCTTCAACTTAAAAGCTTCTTTTGTTTTCCCTTGTACTCACAGACACTGGCCAGAAGTTTGGTCATATAACCTCTGGTTTGCTACAGATGAAGATTGAGGATGGAATTCACTGGCTGAACAGGAGGTTGGAGGTAAAACAAAGGAGTTTTCTCATAAGATAAAACCCTCACACCTGTTCTAATTTACTTTATTTGTCCTCTGAATTTTTTCACAGACTACAGAAGAGAAACAATAATGTTATTTTCTATGGTAGCATATTGTTGTCGCTGTTGTTGTTGTTGTTAGCTACCATCAAGACAGTCCCTGACTCATGATGACTCCATGCACAATAGAACAAAATGCTGTCCAGTCCTGCATCATCTCCACAATGGCTTGCCATTCCCTACCTAAGGCCATTGTGATCCATAAGGTTTTTATTGGCTGACTTTTGGAAGTAGATCACCAGGTCTTTTTTCTTAGGTTTATCTTAGTCCACAAACTCTGCTGAAATCTGTTCTGCATCATAGAAACATGCAAGCCAGTGGCAGACAGGTGGTATATTCACATGAGGTGCACTGGCAAGAAAATGAACGTGGATCTCCTATACGGAAGGCAAGAATTCTACCACTGAACCACCACTGTCTTCTAACTGGAGATTTATCTTTAATTAAAACATTCCTAAATCAATTCTCAAAACTAAACTTCAAAATTCTCCATCAGTTTATCCTAGTGATGGCAAAAATTGTTCTGCAGAAGCTGCAAAGAGTAAGTTTGCCCCACATGGTTTCCAGTAAGAATTTCACACTGAGATGTTCCACCTTAAAATGTGTGCTGCATAGAACTACCTGAACAAATTCTTTCTCTAAAAGAAAGACATGTCATTGAAATTGATTCAGGAAGATCACAGACTTAGGACCATACATATACAAACCATCTAGTGAGCCCTATTCCCCCCAATATTGCCAGCAGCAAAAACACAGAAATTGGAGTAAGCAGGGCAAGACATTCTGATGTGTTAAGAGTGTGGGTTTCCCATGCAAGATAGGCTTCATTACTTTTTTTACTCTAAAGTTCCTAGGAGCTCTGGTGGCATAGTACCTAAGGCATTTGACTGATAATCAGAAGCCTGGTAGTTCAAATCCTCCAGCCACTCCTCAGAAGCAAGGGTGGGCAATCTACTTCTGTAGTGATACAGCCTCAGAAACCCAAGGAGGGATCTCTATGAGCCAGATCTGACTCCACAGCAGTGGTTGTTTTATTGTTGTTGTTAAAGTTCTACCTGAATTGACTCAATGGCAGTGAGTTTGGTTTTAGTTTTCTGGAAAGTTCTAGCTAGTGGCTATATTGGTTATTTTTACACTATCTTATACGTAGCTGGGACTTATATTTAAAAACGTGTGCTGCAGGTTCCATGCACTGCCCTGCTTCATGTTCTGTTAAATTTGCTCCTCATTTATCAACACACTTAAGTTCCAAAGATAAAGTCATTGTACAAAAATTGGCATTATGCAAAAATAGAGGATGACCATATCCATCACAGAATGGAAGATGACTACATCATTACATAACTGCCAAATTACATCATTACACAACTGTCAAATTGTATAACTGCCAAACCATCGATAACCATGGCCCAGCCAATTTGACATATAACTTTAACTGTCACAGCCAGTATTACTCTTGCCTTGTATCTTAGCATTCATTACTGCCAGACGTACATTGTTAATATGTACTATCAAAGTATAGTAGTTTTTTACAATTGTCGTAAATGTGAAACGTCAGCTAACAAGATAGTCAGTAAGTAAGGAGTAAGTATACTTAAATTCTGTATCTCAATTCCATTTCTGTCTTGACTCCTCAGCCATAATTAGTTGCTCCCTTATAGATTCCAAAGAAGTTTGGTCCATATTAGTGTTGTCTCATTCACAACTTTTAATATAGTTGTCTCCTGCAGTAGAATTTAAGTTCCCTGAGATAAGAAATTCTATTCATTACCTTAGTAATCCATGACCACTGCCAAGGATAGAAGCACAGAGTAGGCTTCAACAAACATTGGGCTTTTTTTTTTTGAGGGAAAGGAAAGTGAGGGAGATGTATTACAAATAAATGGGATAACAAGAGTCAAGATCAGGTGCATTGAAGGTTGATCAGAGAGAACTGTGATTAATTTAGCTATTCTCTGTAACATCTGCGGGTGTTTACCATTAACTGCACTTTGAATAATGGTATGGAGAGACAATGATTTGCATCAATAAATAAAAATAGTGGAACTGAAATAATAATGAAGAATAAAAAACATCTACATTTACCAATCTTTTTTTCCTTTAAGAAATAAAAAATTGACCTTCTAAAAATTAAATTTTTATGTGCTTCCAAAGACTTCTCCAAAAGAGTCAAAAGAGAACCTACAGAGTGAGAAAAAATATTTGGTAATAACATGTCTGACAAGGGACTTATCTCTAGAATTTATAGAACACTCAAACACCTCAATAAGAAAAAGACAAACAATCCAATTAAAAAATGGGCAGAAGACATAAAAAGACACTTCACCAAGGAGGATATTAAGCGGCCAACAAACATTATGAAGAAATGCTCACGATCATTAGCTATTAGAGAGATGCAAATCAAAACAACAATGAGATACCATCTTGCTCCAGCACTAGTA